TTTTGATAGCCGGGCACCATCAGCTTTCTTCACCACATTTGCTTATTCACCCGCTTTGTCTTCAGCGGTTGTGTCGGGAAGGTGAGCAACCGATGGCTCTTAACATCAAAACTTCACTTCAGATAACCTGAAATTTTCTTACTTGGATGCGCGACACATACCATTTATAATGCTCTCGCCAGTGTCTTCTTCCAGGCTGGTACTGAGAAATGTATGATGCGTTTATCTGGACTCCTGGGGACCTCATGTGTACCGCAATGAAGCTATGCTCCATAAAGTTTTCAATGACTTTTTGGAAGTCGATTGCCAGATCATTCTTCCCAGTGGGCCTTAGATGTACTCAAATGGTACACCTTTCTGTTAGCAGTCAAGAGCATTAACCACCTGAACCACCCAGGAACTCTGAGAGCCGTATGTTAAAACCATGTAGTTAGTGAGCCCTAGACTTGAACTGAACAGTGCTGTCATTAGCCATGGGGAGCTACTTAGTTGAACCAAGATTCCTCAGTTGGATCATAACAAACTATGGATGCCCTTGAGAAGAAGGGGTATTCCAGAACACTGCACTGTGTTCCTGCAGGAGAATTCCAGAATATTTATTGTGCTCAGGCGAAACCTGTACACAGAGCGGCAGGCAGCTGTGTAAACAGAATGAGGGACTACTGCATGGTTTATAATCAGGAAAGGTGTGCATCCGGGTTGTATCCTCTCATCACACTTATTCAATCTGTATGCTGAGCAAATAATGAGAAGCTGGATTAGATGAAGAAGACTGTATTAAGTATGAGGACTGGAGGAATGCGTATTAACAATCTGTGATATGCAGGTGACAACCTTGCTTGCTGCAAGTGAGGAGGACTTGAAGTGCTTACTGATGGAAGATCACGGATTGTAACCTTCCATAGAATGATCACAACTCAGAAAGAGGACTAAAGTCCCTGCAATTGGACTAATCATGATCAATGGAGAAAAGGTCAAAGTTGTCAAGGATTTTGTCTTGTTTAGATCTACAATCAATGCACATGGAAGCAGCAGTGATCAAAAGATGTATTGCGTTAGGTAAATGTGCTGCACAAGACCTCTTTAGAGTATTGAAGAACAAGGATATTACTTTGAGGACTAAGGTGAGCCTGGCCCAAGTCATGGTATTTTCTTTTTCTTTTTTAATCATTGTATCGGTGGCTTGTACAACTCTTATCACAATCTATCCATCCATCCACGGTGTCAAGAATATTTGTACATTTGTTGCCATCATCATTTTCAAAACATTTTTTTCTACTTGATCCCTTAGTATCAGCTCATTTTTTCCCCACCTTCCCTCACTCACTCAGGATAATTTATAAATTGTTATTTTTTCCAAGGGCTTAAGTGGGGTGTGGATGTTTTGAGGCTCCAGGCAGCAAATGTACAGATGTGCCTGACAAAATGGTTGTATGTGAGAAGAGTTGTATGAGCCCCAATAAAATAATTTTTAAGATTATCTTTTCATGCCTTACACTGACCGATGTCTCCCTTCACCCACTTTTCTGTTGTCTGTCCCCCAGGAAGGGGGTTATATGTAGATCCTTGTGATCAGTCCCCCTTTCTCCCCCCACCTTCCCCTTACCCTCCTGGTATGGCTACTCTCATTATTGGTCCTGAGGGGTTTATCTGTCCTGGATTCCCTGTGTTTCCAGCTCTTATCTGTACCAGTGTACATCCTCTGGTCTTGCTGGATTTGTAAGGCAGAATTGGGATAATGACAGTGGGGGGGAGGAAGCATGAAAGAGCTAGAGGAAAGTTGTTATGTTTCATTGGTGCTATACCGCACCGACAGACGTCAAAGAACAAAAAATCTTATCACTCTGAATGAGGAGGAGTGCGGAGTGGAGACTTACAGCCCATCTGTAGGCAACTGGACATCCCCTTACAGAAGGGTTGTGGGGAGGAGACAAGCCAGCCATGGTATTTTCAATTGCCTCGTATGCATGTGAAATATGGGCACTGAATAAAAGTCATTGCATCTGAACTGTGGTGCTGGAGAAAAATATTGAAAGTATCATGGATTGACTGCCAAAGGAGCAAACCAACCTGTTTGGAAGAAGTACAGCCAGGTTACTCCCCAGAGGCAAGCTTGGAAAAGTGGATGGACAGTGAAAAAGAAGTATTCCCTTAACACAATGGACTGACACAGTAGCTGCAACATGAGAACTGCGAGGATGGTGTAGGACTGCGTCGTGTTTGTCCTGTTGTACATGGGAGTGCTATGAGCCAGCACCGACTCACAAGAGTCCTTAGTTACACAAAGCTGGACTCAAGGGCCCCACATTGTACCAGGCAGTGCAGATACAGTACCCTGTCATCATTGCAGCGTGCTCTACTGGGATCTACTTGGACCCATGAGTGTTCACGGAGGGCTGGCCATCCCAGTAATGACATATTCCAGCACACTGGACCTTCACACTGCCCCTTTACAGTGAGGGCTAGCACTGTTGCTTTATAGATGCAGAACTTGAAGCACAGAGGGGACAAAGCCTTTTTTGGGTGTGTGCTGGAAACCTTTTTGGCTTTGGAATTGTCTAGAAACCAAGAAAGACATCACCTGGGAAGTTTCTGAGCTCATTTTCACCAAGTGCTGAAAGTACCAAGTGCCAAGAATACTCACCATGGCTTTCCTTATCGCACTGGACAGGGGCATCGCGGAGCAGCTGTCCTGCTGTGCGTCAACTGCCTATCTCCAATGCCATCACCTCCCCATCAAAATTCCTGTCATCATCCAATTAAATTTAGAATACCAGTTCCCACAAGCCATTCCAAAGGCAAAAACTCCTTTTAGGGAATTCTGCACAGCTTCCCAACTATGATAAAAGTTTTGGATCAGGGATGGGTCCATCGTCTGGAGCTCCCCCTATGGGGAGTTCAGTGACGGAATGCTCACCTTCCGTGTGCGAGGACCTTGTGCAGCCACCGCCCATGGGTCAGTCGGGGCTTACATGCCATTACGATGCTGAACAGGCTGGAGAGAAATGATCCGGGAGTTGGGGCCAGACTGGATGGCAGCTAACCACAACACAGTACCAAAGTATTGAGACACTTCCCTCCT